AAGAAGTATCTATCTTTAAGGTAGCTCTTCAGTAGTAAATAAAAATCGGCCGGCAATATTCTTGATAGTTTGTAAAGCAATCCTTCGTGCCAGACGCTGTCGAATGCTTTAGCTACGTCTAAAAACACACCCACAGTGAACTTCTTAGAGTCTATATTCATTGCAATTTTACTAGCCACCCTATGAATTTGCTGAATAGTAGAATGCTTTTTACGAAATCCAAATTGGTGATTTGGCAATAGGTTGTTTTCTTGTATTATTGGTTCAAGTCGGGAGAAAAGAAGATTTTCAAATAGTTTGGATAAGATAGGTAATAAGCTGATCGGTCTGTAAGAGTTGACAATTGAAGCATTTTTGTTTGGTTTAGGTATTGCTACAACCTTCGCTACTTTCCAAACAGAAGGGAAAATCTTATTGCTGATCATGCAGTTAAATATGTTTCTAATGTAAATTATGGCTATTACAGGTAATTCTAGAAGAAATTTACCAGATATCTCATCGTAGCCTGGTGATTTTTTTGGGTTGATGTTAACGGCAATGATGTTTTTTATTTCAGCAATTGTTGTCTTCTTAATTTTAAAATTCATCTGGGTCAAGTTCTTGGGTAATGCATGGTTTGTATCATTTTTAGGATTTGTAAATGTGCTCTTAAAATACTCAGCGAGAACAGTTGCTTTTTCTTGGTTTGTGCGCGCCCAAGTGTTATCTTCTTTTTTAATCGGTGCGCAATGAAGTATGGCGCCATTACTACCCTTTGTAGCTTTCCATAAGGAGTAATTTGTAACCTTTGTAGCACTCAATCTTGAGATAAAATTTGATACATTTTTTTGTCTTTCAGCCTCTAATAAAACTTTCAGCTCTTTTGTTAATTTATTCAACTTTGTCTTTATTTGTGGAGCTCTAGATACTTGCCAGATTTTTCTCAACTTTCTTTTTTGTTCTATTTTATGTTTGATATGATTCGGGACAGGTATTACATTTTTGGTTTTTATTATTGGTGTAGATGTAGATGCTGCAGATAATAGTAGAGAATTGAAATTGATTATTGCATTATTTATTTCCTCTTCTGTTCTTAGAGCTACATTTATAACTAATTGTTCTTCTATTATCTCGCGATATGTATCCCAACATGTTTTATAATTGTAAGTATTAATGTTCGTATTGTTCATAGTAAGAGTTGCGCTGTAAACTAGTACTATCGGTGAGTGGTCAGAGGACAACTCAAGGCTGGAATGAATGGAAAGGTTACTTACATTTATGTTTTTTGTTATAAAGAAGTCAATCAAATCAGGTTGCTTTCTTGGGTCACTAGGCCAGTATGTTGGTTCACCAGTACTTATAAATTTTGCTTTGTATTCATTCAGTGCGGTGTAGAGATTTTTGCCCTTTGCGTTTGTTAAACGTGAACCCCATAGCATATTTTTTGCGTTGAAGTCCCCTCCGACTATAAATCTTTGACCAAGAGATTTGAGGAAATTTAAGTACGTGTCTTTGGTATTTGAGAACTTAGGAGGACAATAAACAGCAGCCAATTTTAATAGACCATGGGAATCTTCAATCATTACTGAGGTCGCTTGTATTTGTTCTGTACTATGATGTTCTGATTCAGAGCTAACTATACAGTTTTTTATGAAGATGGCAGTTCCACCGTGTCCTTTTCCGTCGGGATGATTGGTTTGAAATATTGTGTAATTTTTTATTTTAACATAGCTTTTTTCAGTGAGATGCGTTTCTGAGGTTAATAGTATGTCGATCGAATTTGAGTATAGAAAAGTTTTCAATTCGTTGATATGTCTACTTATACCGTTTGCATTCCATGCTACTATTTTTAATTCATTGAACTTACCCATTGATTTTTGTGACCAACGCCGTTAAAATGTTCATCATTCCTGACATTTGTGTTATCAATGTTTTCATCATTTCTTTTAACTCTGCGAGTTCTGGGTTGTAAGAGTTAGATTCAACAGGTGTTTGACGCGTAACTTGGGCATATGATAATGTTTGTGGGATGTTGGCATTTGTGTTTTGAGCAGTTGCATTGTCTGTTGTGTTCAAAGATTGTTGCTGACTTGTTTGGACGGGTGTTACTTTTTCTCTCATGATAGGATATCGTTTAATTTTAAGTGATTTGTACACCTCACATCCCTTGTAGTTGGCTGTGTGCTTTTCTCCGCATAAGGCACAGCTAATGTTTTCAGAATTTCCTTTTGTTGGACAATTGGCGGTTTTATGATTTCCTGCACATTTAACACAAACCGGTGACTTGGTGCAGAAATTTTTTGTATGTCCATATTTTTGACAGTTAGAACATTGAGGTATGACTTTTTGAGGGCGAGGTGGCTCAAATTGGATTTTGCAGTGAAGTAAATATTTAATTGAGTAAATTTCTTTATTATTCACATTTTGTTTTAATTCTAAAGAGAATAAATTCAATGGCTTCTTAGTTCGTAGTTGTAATATGTTTTGGATATTTATGATTTCATGACCGTTTTCATGAAGGCTTTTTTTAATTTCATTTGTATCCACTGAGTAGTGCATGCCACGGAGAAAGACTTTAAAACCTCGTTCTTCCTTCGGTTTATATGTATAGTATTCGGTATTTTTTTCTTTAAGCAGCTTTATTATGCTGGTGTAATGAGTTGAGTCAAATGGTTGCAGTTTGACTTCATTATTTGGTAATACTTTTATTTCATATTTGCAATTCGGTATTGAGTCAATTGCCTTTATTAAAATGTCTAGTCTTTCTACTTTTTGAATAAAGAGCGGTGGTGGTTTGGTTTTTTTAATTTGTTTTGTTGCATCGTTTTCGTTGCTGTCGCTCTTTTCACTATTCACTTCGCCGTTATCATTTTCGTCCGATAAGCATGCGAACCTGTTTGCTGGTTTGGCAAGCCAATAGTTCGTCAGCGTTTGCTGATTAGACGATTGCTCTTTTTGCTTTTGTTTCTTGATCCTCTGCTTTTCTTTTTGATTATTAGGAGATGATCTATTTCTTTTTGTTGAAAGTGGAGTATTTAGAGTGGTACTCTGCAATTTTTGCAAAGGCGGTGAAATTGTTGACATTATTGGTTCATGCATTGATGATGTTGTTGTTATTATGCTAGTTGATAAAGAGGTGGCAATTGAGTTTGTTGTATTACTTGTAGGTAGAGTGTATACAATGTTTTCTACAAATGTTTTTACGGGAATTTGGTTCGAACTTACAGGAACATTTACCGAAGTTGTAAAGGAATTACGTCTTACAGGTAGTGGTCTTTCATCCAAGACTTTTTGTGGCGACATATCTTTATATGTTTTTGTGTTTTTTAATAAAGAATTTGTTAAGTTGTTGGTTAACTTAATTTTATTAGCTGTGGCAATTTCACTAGCTATTTTTGCTATATTAGTTTCGTGTACAGAATTTGTTTTAAGTTTCTTATTTGTTTTAACGTCTTCTGTGCTAAGCATAATATAGCCATTCAAGCCATTTTCACTTATATGAGAGTGCCGACGTACAACTCTTTCATATTCGCTCATATATGGTATTAGGTTTACAATTTATTTACACTTTGTTTATTTAATTATTTTTAATTATTTAAAATCGAAAATTTCCAAATAAAATGTTATTTAAATTTATTTGTTTATTAAATTTATTTATTTATTTTATCTATTTAAGTTTTTTTAAGAATACTTAAAAACACTGTGGCAACACCACATTTATAATTTATAACTTTCGTTAAAAAGATCATATGCTGTCTCTATCAGCTGTTTTGAGCAAGAACTCAATTTTTTGTGTTTTGGTTGTTTTTGCAAACATAAAAAAGTTTTTAATTTGTTTAGCAAAAATTTTTATTTTACTAAATCTTAATATCACCGTTTACTGGCACTAATTATTAGTAGAATTTTTATATTTACGGTCTATCGCTCAAAATGATCATAACTTTGAGATTTGTAATTTAATTATTTCCAATCAAAAACAATAAAAGTTACGGAGTGTTCACTTTTCGCGCGCGCAAACTTCACTAGGTAATCCTAGAACTGCTTTTAGCATAGTAACTATCCAATTTTTTAACTCTTAAAAGTCCCCTCAATATCTAGACTAAGACTGAGCCTAGCAGAAAATGAGGTTGATTCAATTGACTTACAAAATTTCTTCCAGCCATTACTTCTGGGCTCCCTGATAGCTTTGTCATAAGTTTTGAGACAATCCTTATATTCATGCCAACCATTGTTCTTGGCACCTTGAAGTGGTGTAGGGGCTTAGCTACAACTCGGACTATAAATATAAATATTCGCAATCACCTGGCATTTGTCAGATGACTGTGAATTTTTATCGTTTCCAGAATGAGGTGTACAACCAAGATCTACCATTAGGTAGTTTTGTGTTGTCATCTATGTTTTCACGTAGTTGTGTTTGTGTTATTTTATGTAGTAGTAATAGTAGTAGTAGTAATTTCATGTGTAATAGTAGTAGTAACTGTTAAACCGAAAAGCACAACTGGTCACCTTTAAATTATAAATCCATCTGGTCACCCAAAAACTCAAGTGACAGCTAATGTCAAACGTTCGTGTTGGCTTAGTTGTTGGCGGAATTTTGGCTTGGTTTCTAGTTTTGCGTAGTGTGCTTAAAAAAGTTTACGTGCTTTTTAAATGGTTTAATTCAATTATATATTAAACAAAAGTATATTTAATAAAGTCAAGTTCAATAATTATTTCAATTAGTTTTTTACTTAAACTAAAGTGTACAAGCCTTGGCAAACCGCAAGGCAAAATACAAAAATTATCTTTTTTGTAACATTTTGGCGACCGTGACAGGACACTTTCATCCAATTCGCATAATTGGAGTCCGTATCAGCAGGTGCTGATCAGTGTACAAATAGTTTGTTGTTCAATTCGCATAATTGGACGCATACAAGTCATAAAAGTGGTGCGCTACACATTAGCAACAGACTTTCGAATTTTAATAACATTCAATACAATCGTTTGCATCATCTGAAGGTTAAAATTGTAGCAGCTTCATTATGTCAGACGGAGAGAACGCAGCAACTACACCAAAACCATTATCAATAACGTCTCTAAAGCAACAAAGAGCATCGTGCAAGGGAAGCTTAACACGAATCAATAATCAAATTGATTCAACAAAACAATTCTCTTACATTGAACTGGAGTGTAGATTGGGATTGGTAGAGTCGTACTATAAGCAATCTACTTACTATCAATCTCAAATTGAGAATTTAGATCCCGCTGATGGTGGACGCAATGATTTAGATGAGTTGTATATCACGGTTAAAACTAAAATAAAGTCTCTTATGGAAGAACGTCGACCAAGAGATGTTGTTAATAACGAACACAGCTTCGTAATGTCACCAACAATTAATAACAGTCGTTTACCAGCTTTGAAATTGCCACATTTTGATGGAAATTATATGGATTATAAAAACTTCATACACTCATTTAATAACTTAGTTAATAATGATGCTACTATATCCAAGATCGAAAAATTCAACCATTTGTTGACATGTTTAAGTGGAGAGGCGCTATCAACCGTAAAGGCCTTTCAAGTGTCGGAAGAAAACTACGAGCTAGTTATTGCACGTTTAAATGATCGCTATGATAATGACACGCTCATATTTTTAGAAAATATATCTGCACTCTTTAAGGTTCCTGTGGCTTGTAAATCGGATTCCAAACAGCTCAGAAATATTGTAGATACAATGTCAGCGCTCTATAGTTCACTCAAAACATTGAGTTCTACGACACAAATCATGGACGCAATCATGATCCATCTGTTAATGAACAAAGTGGATCCCGGTACGAAGCAACGTTGGGAGGATCAGCTGTCTTACGAAACGTTGCCTACATGGGAGGGCTGTTGTAAAATGTTAGAAAGAAGATGTCAACAATTGGAAGCACAAGGCAAAAACAATAACCTTCAAGTATCAAACCAATTAGCAAATAAACCAGTCATTAAGGGATCAAAACAATATACAATGCTAACAAGTATAAATAAATTTCAGAAATCCGAATTGGTATGCGTATTTTGTTTGAAGAAAAATCACTCAATTACTACGTGTCAGCGTTTTATTATTTTATCCACTAAATATAAGAAAGAAAAGGTACGTCAATTGCAATTATGTTATAACTGTCTTAATAAGGGACATAGTGTAGCGGAATGCCCATCAAGATACTCGTGTCGGTTTTGTAAGCAGCGACATCATTCCTTGATTCACCAAACTGTTGAGTCACCAGTACAAGTTCCTTTTCTACATTCAGCGGATAATAGTGAAAATCAAATTAGTACATTCTCAGCCACATCACATGCCACTTCAGTAAGAAGCGACTCAATTCAAAAGAAAAGTACAGTCATTTTAGCCACAGCTATTATTCTTGTGCAAGATGCTGGTGGTTGCTACCATATGTGTAGAGCACTACTGGATTCCTGTTCTCAGGTGAATCTACTCACACATTCATTTGCACAGATATTAAATTTAAGAAAATCAAAATCCTCAATTGATTTATCTGGTGTTGATGACGCTTGCATAAAATTAAACTTCCAAACTCAAACTACTATACGATCCAGAGTAAGCAATTTTGAAAAATCGGTTGAATTCCTGTTAGCAAACAACATCACTGGCTATCAACCTGACGAATCTATCTCCTTAAAGAATATGCCGATGCCGAAAGCCATCGAATGTCATCTTCAGATTACCGAAGATTTTGCACAACATTCCAAACACTAAACTCTAATGTTGAACGTCTGTGGAAATTGGAGGATGTTACTACCCAACCTTCGAAATTCACCATTGAGCAACAACAATGTGAAAAGCATTTTGTAGAGAATGTACAGGTAAATGCCGAAAATCGAATAATAGTACGTTTTCCATTTAAAACCAATCCCGATGCTCTCGGTAACTCTAGTGACATAGCGTTGCAGAGATTTTATTGGATGGAACGAAAATTGAATAAAAATTGAAAAAGGATCATTGAAAAAGGATTACGCATTGTTTTTAAAGGAATATGAAAATCTAGGTCACATGTCCCGAATTATGTCTCCTGATCTGAGTCGTGCTCATTATTTCATTCCACATCATTACGTGTTGAAACCAACTAGTGAGACCACGAAATTGAGAGTAGTATTTGACGCGTCATGTCGCTCAGCATCACAAGTATTACTAAATGACTTACTGATGGTCGGACCAACAATACAAAATGATTTATTTGTTACACTAATTCGTTTTGTTACTAATACATCAGTATGGGTTAATGGCAGACATAAATAAAATATACCGTCAAGTGGTGCTTCATCCAGATGATAGGCGGTTCCAACTAATACTATGGCGAGAAAATGAACACAAACCAATCTCAACGTATATGCTTAACACCGTCACATACGGTACATCAGCGGCTCCACACCTTGCAATACGAAGTCTCCAGTATGCTGCTGAAAATTATCATCAGGCGCATGAACTAGGAAAGGCCGTTATTCTAAACGACTTTTACGTCGACGATATGGTCACCGGAAAGGACGATTTGGCAACATTGGTGCAAATAAAAAAAGAAGTTTCTGAAATATTAAGTCACTTTGGGATGGAATTGTGTAAGTGGCATTGTAGTCATTGTAACTTAAATGCAACTTTGGAACGCGACCTTCAGCTGAATGAAGACACAACCAGTGCTCTCGGAGTAAAATGGAGACCAGATACAGATGTATTTATGTTCTCGTTTAAACCTAAAAAATTGGTAAGCGTTACTACTAAAAGATCGATTCTATCATTTACAGCGTCATTTTTCGATCCGTTGGGCCTAATCAATCCAATCATTGTAGTACCAAGAATCATATTACAACAGCTGTGGGTACAAAATATTTCTTGGGATGAAGGCATTCCAGAGATTTTAGCAAGTAAATTTAAGGATTTCATTGATGATTTGCAACATTTACCACTGCTACATATTCCTCGTTTTGTACGAATGTCTAACACAATTGAAGTACAAGTTCACGGCTTCTGTGATGCATCTGTAAAGGCGTACGGTTGCTGCCTATACTTGAGATGTAAGGATTCATTGGGAACCATATGCGTAAACTTACTTACTTCAAAATCAAGATTGGCTCCTACGAAAACATGTTCGTTGCCACGACAGAACTCTGTTCAGCTCAATTATTAACGAAATTATGGGCAAAGGTACAACCGCATTTATCGTTTGAAATATCAGAAGTCTATTTCTGGTCCGATTCACAAATCACACTTCATTGGATTCGCTCTGAATCATCAACACTATCCGTTTTTGTTGGCAATCGAGTTGCCGACATTCAAAATTTGTCAACAAATACTACATGGCATCATGTTGATTCAGCAAATAATCCGGCAGATGTCATTTCGCGTGGGTGTTCGGTGCACACATTGCAGTCATCCATATGGTTTCACGGGCCAACATTTCTCCAAAACGACATTAAGGAATGGCCTCTGCACTCATCAGTGGAATTACAGACCACACATCTTAATCTGGAACGCAAGAAAACGTGTCTGATTATTAAACAAAGGAAACCATCATATATTATCGAACAAATTTATTATTATGGTAATTATCTTAAATGTGTGCGTACATTTGCCTACGTGTTACGTGTCATTCAACCACGATCAAGAAATACTGATGTACTCAAGGCTAGCGAATTAAAAAATGCTCTATATCATATTGTTTGGGCTATTCAACAGCACCATTTTGCTAGAGAAATTACATTGCTGAAAACAAAAAGGCCAATTAAGGGTCAACTAGCAAACTTATGTCCGTTTCTCGAACAGTTTGGGAACTTGTTGTTATTGCGCGTTGGCGGCCGTCTGATGAATGCAGATGTATCTTTTGAAGTGAAGCATCCTCTATTATTGCCAAAGGCGGACACAGTCGTAGTCTCATTAGCGACACACATACATCGCTCGAATTTTCATGCCGGACCGCGAGCCTTAACAACACTCATTCAACAAGAATTTTGGATCATAAATTGCAAGTCTTTAGCAACTCAGGTAGTTCGTAACTGTATTCACTGCATCAAATATAAACTGAAATTGTTAGAGCAAGTAATGGGTAATCTTCCTAAAGAACGAGTCACAGAATGCTTGCCGTTTCATGTTACTGGAGTCGATTTTGCCGGACCAATACCCACATATTTAAAGATAAGAGGCAAGCGACCATATAAATCTTATATTGCTGTGTTTGTATGCTTTGCAAGTAAAGCGGTGCATTTGGAGGCTGTAACAGAATTATCTGCAGACGCATTCATATCAGCGTTAAAACGATTCGTTGGTCGTCGAGGTGTGCCTATGAAGATATTTTGCGACAACGCAACAAATTTCGTTGGTGCAGACAACAAGCTCAGAGAGTTCCGCAATTTCTTTAATAAACAATGTACAATTAATACCATCACGTCACATTGCGCAAATTTACGTATTGACTTTTCCTTTATACCGCCAAGGGCACCTCACTTCGGAGGACTCTGCGGTAAAAATTGCAAAATCACACTTGTACAAAACCCTATCAAATGCTCGACTTACATTCGAAGAACTGACTACGGCTCTCGTCGAGATCGAAGCTGTGATGAATTCCCGTCCACTTACAAGTATATCCACAGATCCTAATGACTTGTCAGTATTAACACCAGGCGAATTGCTAATCGGCAAAAAACTAAAGCACATACCGGAACCAGTGATTACGTCACAGGAAATTTCGTTGCCTGCTCGATGGAAACGAATTACTGCAGTAAAATCTCAATTTTGGCGTCGCTGGCAACATGAATATTTATGCACGTTACAATCACGAAATCGTTGGCAACATTCAACTCGCAATTTAAGGGTCGGTGACTTAGTAATTATTCATGACGATAACCTGCCACCTATGAAATGGCTTCTTGCTCGCATCATTCGCACGGTAACAGGAGCAGATGGCAAGGTCAGAGTAGCAGAAGTTAAGACGCCTGAAACCACACTCACTCGACCCATTGCGAAGCTGGCGTTATTACCAATATTGAATTCAGATGATTCAATGGGGCCGGGATGTTAAACCGAAAAGCACAACTGGTCACCTTTAAATTATAAATCCATCTGGTCACCCAAAAACTCAAGTGACAGCTAATGTCAAACGTTCGTGTTGGCTTAGTTGTTGGCGGAATTTTGGCTTGGTTTCTAGTTTTGCGTAGTGTGCTTAAAAAAGTTTACGTGCTTTTTAAATGGTTTAATTCAATTATATATTAAACAAAAGTATATTTAATAAAGTCAAGTTCAATAATTATTTCAATTAGTTTTTTACTTAAACTAAAGTGTACAAGCCTTGGCGAACCGCAAGGCAAAATACAAAAATTATCTTTTTTGTAACAGTAACTTTATGTAGGCTGACTGACGTGGTCCAAATGGCTACTATAACATCTTAGCTTCTCGAGGAGCAGATGAGTCTTTGCATTTTGGTGCTACTCATTAAGTTCGTCAGTCAATCGATCGGCCTTTAATGGAAGTTTAGTCGTTTGTAGGATCGATGACCCCAAAGCAGTTAGGTCATGTCTCTGCTGGTTTTGTGGTCGCCAGCAACTAGGCTGGGTGAAGGAAAATACCCTGGGTTTGATTGAAGTTATGAAACAATCTATAGTTTTTGTCCCTAGTTTAAATTTTTTTTATATAAAGATGTATGGTGTAGTATGTGTGAATGTATGAATGAGACCCGAACAACCCCCCAATCTACGGTGGAACAGCTATGCCTGTATTAACTTGGTCACGGGGCTAGTGATGACCTTAATAGCGAACTGCGGATACCAGGCGACCTCAGCTTTCAATTTGCCTTCTGTCGGTAAATGGGCTCTGCCGACGGCGACTTTATACTTCCCTAACACTCGAGGGATATCATATGGATATATCTAATAAACAAACTAAAGGGGATGATGCTACCCTTATCGCATCAAACACTACTGCTGTCGGGCAGGGAATTAACAACAACCAGTCGACTGTTGTGTCACAGGTCAGTGAACCTTTTGTAGATGGTGCTGTTGGGCACATCTGCAATCAGTATACTGTGGAAAAACAACATTTTCCACAGTATACTGATGCTAGCAGCACAGAAACTGAAGCGTCTGATGCTGTCTCTTTAGTCTCTGTTCTGAACAGTCAGGTGCTACTATTGTCAATGTTTGTATGAAAGGGATCAGTTTACATGACCAGAAGGGTTTTGTAAAACTGAACTCAATGCAGAAGAGGAGGTTAAAGGCTTACATGAGCCAGGGATACTCTAGGGATGTGGCCCTAGACATGGTGTCTAAACTTCCAACTCGTGCGCCAGCTAAAAGGGCTTTATCTGACGACATGGTCATGCCAGCTGGTAAGAAACCAAAGCAGAACACCTCGATACAGGGATCGAGTAAAACCTCTTTCAGCCAAGTAGCCAGTCAGGCCAAGGGGATCAAATTAGGATTTGTTCCTTTTGATTTGGCTAAGTGCCCCCTAAACAGGGAACAGATTGCATAGCTACAGGAGCCCATAATTGAGACTGCCATTGAGTTGGCGTCAGACGAGGTTAAACCAGAATTTGAAGGTTGTTTCCCTCGCACAGGATGGCTCATGGTGGTGTGCACACATAACCAAATGGCTGAATGGGTACTTAAAAATGCGACAGCTATTGCAACAAAGGCTAAACTGGGCGCCAAAGTGGTTGAAGAGTCGGAGTTCCCAAAAACACACCTGGTGCGAGGATACTTTCCACACAGTTGCGATTTTGAAAACACCAAGGTTCTTGCCACAATTAAGGCCCAGACGATGCGTCATGGAACTCACTGGTCCAGAGTGGAGATAGAATTGCATATCGCTTCAGCCATATCAAGCTACTGCTTAAAGCTAACAGTATGACAAAGGAGGGGCAGCCAGAACAACGGCCTGTGGAACAAAAGGTTCCAAACAAACTCCATCACAAGGACGGAGAGACAGAAAGTGGAGCACGTGGTCCCACAATCAATACTTACGTCTACTGTGACTCCCAATGAGGCCCCAACTACTAGTAGAGCCGCCATTCAAAAAAGGCTTTCGATGCGGTCACCTGTGGGTGGAGCATCAACAACTCCAAAGGAGCGCCAGAGGGAAAGTGGGCTATGAAGAGCACGACTTCAGAAGGAAGTCGAACGCTCTCTTAATAAAACTCAACCAACACGCGAAAGGAGCATCGGCTACCTTGTGCAGGACCTTCGCCACAAAAGGACTGGCCATAGCGCTTATCCAGGAGCCGTAAACAGTCGGTGGGCGTATAAAAGGCCTTCAACATCAATCAAGTAAGTTGATATATAAACGTGACATAGAGTCGCCTAGAACTGCTATACTAGTAAACAAAAATGTTAACTGTATTCCAATTCCAGATTTCACCCAGAGGGACTTGGTGTCGGTCATTTTTGAGATCCTGACGGAGTGCAGCCTACTTCCCAGGCGATGCAGATGAAGCACCACCTGAAGCAGTCACAAACTTGGTAAGTTATTGCAAATCTAACAATTTACAATTTATAATTGGTTGCGACGCTAATGCGCACCATACCTTATTGGATAGTACTAACATAAATAGAAGAGGGCAAATGCTTTTAGAATACTTTAGTAGTAATAACATCAGCATATTGAACAATGGTTCTGAACCTACTTTTATTAATGCCATTAGAAGAGAGGTTCTTGACCTTACTCTTTCTAGTCAATTTATCTCCAATTATGTTGATAATTGGAGGGTCTCAAAGGAGGTTTCTTTAGCTGACCACCAACATATTCTTTTTGATCTGCCGGGCCAGATTTTACATAAAATTTCGACAGCTGCATGTAAGTGTATCAACTGGGAAATCTTTAGACTATCCTTAGCTAGTAGGGAGATTCAATTACTGAATTCAATCAGTCATATTGATGAATTTGAATTAGCAGCAGATCAAATAAACTCTGTTAACTCTCAGGCGCATGAAGATGCATGTAAGGTTGAACCACGTACATCCAGACGGGATGTGCCATGGTGGAACAACAGGCTCGAAGAAATGCGCAGGGAGGTTAGGAAGCTTTTTAATTTAGCGAAGCGATTAGGGGTGTGGGTAGACTATAAAACATCCTTGACTGCCTACAACAATGAGATTAGAAAATCTAAACGGAAATCATGGAAAACTTTCTGTGCCAGTGTTGACAACTCTCCGCAAATGGCTCGCCTTCATAAAGTGTTGAGAAAGTCTCTTTCAAATGACATTGGTCTATTGAAAAAGAGTGATGTGCACTTTCCAGGATCGATCTTATGTGATGCATCCATAGATAGGCGCACGTTAAGTTATGAACAACCAGACAATCGATTAAGGTCGCTATCTGTTATCATTTTTGACATTGATAAAATCAGATGGGCAGTTAATTTTTTCAGTCCCTTTAAGTCACCAGGAAGTGATGGTATCTTCCCGTCACTTATACAAAATGGCATAGACGTTCTTATCAATCCTTTAAAGGTGCTTTTTAGTGCAAGCCTATGCTGGAAGCATATACCTGAAGCTTGGAGAGAAGTGAAAGTGGTATTTATACCAAAAAATGGTAATAGACCAAATGATGACGCTAAATCGTGTAGACCGATTAGTCTCTCATCCTTCCTCCTGAAAACTATGGAAAGACTCATAGATATCTATATTCGTACTGAATTGTTTAAAAGTCAACCTCTTCACAAAACTCACTTCGCTTATTCCAAAGGGAACTTGGTCAGGAAAATTGAAAAGGCCCACAAAAATAAAGAAATTGCGCTTTGTGCATTTCTGGATATTGAAGGAGCGTTCGACAATACGAGTTATGGCTCGATCTCGAATGCCTTAACTAACAGAAATGTTGATTTTAATGTTATTTCATGGATTGAGGCGATGCTTCAAAACAGAAAAATTATATCAACCTTAGGTAGAACGTCTGTAGCTGTTGAGGCCGCAAAAGGTTGCCCACAGGGTGGAGTACTGTCTCCTTTGCTCTGGTCAGTGGTTGTTGATGAACTTTTAATCTTATTGGAGAATATTGGTTGTGACCCCATTGGGTATGCAGACGATCTAGTTATAATAGTATCTGGAAAGCAGAGATCTTGGTAGGACACCTTCGACGCATTTTAGCGTGGTGCGAAGGTGAGGGTCTCTCCATAAATCCGGAGAAAACTGTTGTTGTGCCTTTTACACTCAAACGTAAACTAGACATAGGTCCCGTACGTTTAGGAAACACTAATATTTCTCTCTCCAGTGAAACAAAGTACCTAGGTGTTGTCCTAGATGGCAAACTCACTTGGAATTCACACTTAAATAAAGTATATAACAAAGCATTAAGGGCTTTATGGACAACACGGTCCTGTATAGGTAAAACTTAGGGCCTCAACCCAAAGATTATATTTTGGATATATCAGGCAGTAGTATGTCCTATCATGACATATGGTTGCCTGGTTTGGTGGCAAAAGGTCGTACAGGCTGGATCTATTGCTGTTTGCATGAAGCTCCAGAGATTAGCGTGTCTCTTAATGACTGGTGCTATGAGGACAAGTCCAACTGCAGCACTTGAGGCTATACTTGGATTAACATCTCTGCACATACACATTCAATCTACGGCTGCGCTTAGTGCGCTTCGATTAAAACTCCACATGAACAAGGGTTGTCTTGATTATGGTCATACAACAATATTAAAAACATTTGGAGCACGTAAAATTCCTCAATGCGATGGAGACTATACAACAGAACTCCATCGTTTTGGCAAAAAATTTGAGGTACACCTACCATCACGTTCAACGTGGGAGAATGGAGGCCCACAGGTTGACCGAAAAAGTTTGGTTTGGTGCACAGATGGATCAAAGATAGATGAAGGCACTGGCGCTGGTGTATATGAAGGCACTGGCGCCAACACCAGCATTTCGGAGGCAATGGGCACATGGCCGAGTCTTCCAAGCTGAAATCCACGCAATCAACTTATGCGTAAGATCCAATTTAATCAAAAAATCTTCTGGCTCGAAAAATGTTATTTACTCTGGCAGCCAGGCTGCTCTTAAAGCTCGTTTTTCTTGGACTTTCA